TGCTGCTTTATCACGCATACCGATCACTGGGGGGAACATAAACAAGCAGATGGGTTTGCTTCAGACCCGCACTTGGTCGCTGTGTTTATTCGCATGGAGAAAAAGACGCCCTTCTTTTGTGGTGGTCACCAAGCACATTTATGCGTAGGGGCGTGCCCCTGTCGCGCACATGTTTTCTTAAATCACAGTGGAAATACGACACGCAGAAGGCATACGTATCTTGGAGGGTTCGTCAACATTATCATTATCATCGATGTGACAACATTGTCAACGATTAGTCGTGCGACTAAAATGGGGTAGTGGGGGTGGGGGTATATCGATTTTATCAACATTGTCAACATGACGTGTATATAATCAGCTTTGGGTCTACACCTACAGCTGGTGGCTGCGAACCACCATGCCTGATGACCCGTGGCAGACCACTGGAAGTGAGATGAACAGCTTGAGATGGAGCACTTCACATAGGTTGGGAGGCGTGGTGATTTTCACAAACGTCCCACTGTCTAAAGTGAACCCGTTGAGATATATATATATATATGTTTCTTTTGTGTGAACTTCTAGAATTTCCACTATAGAGAATGACCGGCCCATATGGCAGCCTGTGCTGAGTTGTCCAGAGGGTTTCTTCTTTCAGATGTTGTACAGATTCAATCTTTATGGCCGCACAGAGTCGTCCCATGGCATTCTCCGCACGCCGCCGCGGTATTCGTTGGGCGCCGTCTTCTTTGCGGTTGGGAGGTTGTGGGAGCGGCAGACGGGCAAGAGTTGAGGATCACAAGCTTCACGTGTGAGGATCGGACGCTTGAAGTGCATGGATGAAGCGTGTGGATTGCATGGTGTGGCGTGTTTCCCTTGTGCGTTGGGGGAATGTGGTATGGGGATGAGATTGGGTATGGGGAAAGTTAAGGAATGTTGGTTGGATGATACGATAGACATCATTGTTTCATATTAGATGTGGATTGTCTCAAGATATTTCATTGGTGATTCGGAACATATCACAATGTCCGCTACTGTAGACTCAAGACATCTCAAGACTCTTGATATCTCGTGGTCTGAAAGAATGAAGAGGTTTGACATGGGTTTGACCATCCATTTTTGGGGGTATGCATGGATGCGTACATGCCCGCAAGTGGGTTTGACCATCCATTTTTTGAGGGGTGTTAGTACGCAAAAGTCCGCACTACTGTTATCTTGTCGTGATTTGGGGCACTGCAACATCCACGTGAAAGGACGGCCTGTCCACTGCAGGACGGCCTGTCGAGATCCTATAGGCAAGAGATGGTACTAGTCACTTAGTCTAGTCGACAGTGTCATTTCTAATTTTGCAGCCTTCGATTTGCATCGAACGCTCTGGATCCTGCGTGCGAACCTACGGTCGAGAGGGAAGCTGGGTGAGAAGACTCAGGACAAGAGGAAAAACCACTTCAGAGACGATGAATTTGAAATCACTTGCATCGATTACTTTTACTAGTTAGATGTATTTGTCAACAAAACCGAGTTTTTGCTTTTCATATTGGTTTTCGAGATCGCTTCCCATTTGACCACATCCTGTCAGCAGAGCTTTAGAGCATACAGATATATCAAGGAGATCGCGCAAGACAAGACCATATGTTGCAAGTGTTTCACTAAGAACGTCACAAGAGAAAAACAGGTTGGGCCCTATTCTTTCTTGCTCTACCGTATGAGCAAAGCACAACCGGCAAACAAGCACTCTTCTTTCCGGTGCGGACATCCTGCGCATCCTGAAGAACGAGATGCCAAACCATGGCCACGTTCTTTTTTGGTTAGTTAGTTTATGTGCTATGCATAAGACATTATATTAACTACATAGTCTTTTGAATGTCGTATCACATGAAACCATGATGTGACTTTTTTTTTTAGGCGAGTTGATGTCATTGAGAAAGCCTAACGGGCGCCGCAGTGGTTCGTGGGTGGAATAAACATTTGCTGACTGGTCGTCGTTGCCTTTTTGACAAGTTGGGTATCGCATGGACGTCGTAGAGTAGACGCTACACTGCTACGCAGGAAGCATGCTGGTATGAATTGGCTGTGTTGCATGATGGAACCTTTGGTCGCGCCTCCGGACCGATAGTATGGTTTTAGCATGTCAAGCTCCAGACGACTTACTAAGTCAAGGTACACGGTTGTACATCATTCTCACAAAGTTCATTGCAAGTGATTTTGGTTTACTGTGCTGTATATATATATTTTTTGTTATAGTTGCATCATTCAACTTCAAGATTTCCCTTTGCCAACACACATAGAGTTTGCATGAGTTTGATGTGTTTGCTTTACACACCAGTGCGTTTTGCTGTCACTGTTATAGTTATAGTTATTTGGTTTGGACAGACACCACTGTCAACATTGAGAATGAACCTGCTTGTCTCGTGAAAAATCGTTTCTCGTGATTCCGTTGATGCTTTTCAGGGCCAAAAACTATCACCGGTGCCTCCCTATTTTTCAGAAAAGTTGGCTCCAGCCTTTCTGGATATGACCAAGAAGCCAGCCATTCTGGGTGGTTGGTCCAGCCTAAAGGGTCAAAAACACATGCTGTGATCTCCACGTTCCTGCTGCTGGCTCGGTGTTCAATTCTTTGGGCGCATGGGACACTGAACAGAACTGACCCGTGCACTACTCTGCGTGATGAAACATGGGGAGTTTGTTGAGGAGGGGCGAAGGTGTTGTGGAAGATGGAGGAAGCAACAGAAAGAGTCTAAGATGCTGTTTTGAAGAAGATGTAAGGATGTAAATCCAAGAGTAGTCAGCTGCGAAGTGGACGCTTCCACCTTTTTGTTGAGCACAGAAGCGCAAGAAATTTCAAAGAAAAGCCTGTGAGTGGCACCTCCCAGGACTCCCCCTGACGCGCATTTCAGGTTCGCCCATTTCTTCAGTTTTGGATCGGCAGAAGCAGCGGAACTCGCACCCGAACTCGGCTGTGTCAGAGCTGGAGGGAATTGTACCGGGTATAGATGAATGTTCCACTCAGTTCATGCATATTCATACTGATGTTTGCATGTGGCATTCTGCCACAGAACTTGCTGCTGGTTCGGTCGCTGCTTGTTGCTGCTTGAGTGGCAGAAATTTTACAACCTCGCCCTCACCAAGTGACCGGGCAGGCTCCACCTCCACAGCCCAGTCTTCGACGTCCAAGGGCGTGGCGTGGCGAAACCTTGCGCCATGGAAGGAACACCTTGGAAACTCGCTGATCTTCTCGAACGGAGGCACTCAATGGAGGCTCCTGCAGACACTCCTGCAGAGCCTAGGTCGAGCCATGCGCAACTGGTTCTTCGGTCGTCCCGATGCGATCAGGACGGTCGTCACTCGGTCGTATGTTCTTCGTCGCAAAAACGTCAGACGCATCGTGGGGGACACCTGTCATGGTTTGGACACTGCCCTGGAAAAGTGGATATAACATAAGCATATATAAACAGTAATATATGATATGTATGATCAATTATGATCATACCTAGGAAGGTATATAACCTTTTAAACCTTTGGATGGGATTGGTGACCCCCCCCCCCACCTCCAGACGAATGACAGTTCGGGTTCAGTTCCATCGGTTGGCTCCGGGAGTCAACGGTGTCCAGAAACCGGTTCGGGAATTCAACCGTTTTAGATTCCTCAGGGTTCGCCTCACCAGAAAAAGACACCGAGGCCTTGGAAATATATTATATGTTGAATTCTATTACTACTATTATAGATATAGATTTTAGACCCTGAGAGTCAGAGTCCAAGACTAAATTTTTGAATGCTTTAACGAGTTTCAAACGAGCTTGAAAAAACTACAACAAGTCGATAGAATTGGAAAACTCACTGATATGTGTTATGTGTCCATCTATGTATGGGATAATCCCAGCGTGGAAAGGATTTGTGCTAACAAGGATCTATTAGCAACTCCAAGTCTATTCACGTGGACAGTTGGGAGGTGATTCTTGGTTTGGGACATCCAAGTGTGCAGGCCAATGAGTATGAAGCTGCTTGAAGTGTTTCAGGTTTTGTGGTTACAGAGTACATGGCATTGGCACCCCAAGATGTCTTTTAGATGGGGGTCTATATAAAGCTCCGAACTGGGGGTAACGTGTGCCATCTACTCTTAATCACTACAATGAATTGCATTTACTAGGGTCTCTTGGTAACGTCTGCTGGAGGTGAACCAACGCAACAACAGCACCAGCAGTCTGGTGGATGTTTCAAAACACCCAGCAGGACTGGCGTCCTGACGGTTTGCCTGGGTCGGTCCTCCTGAGTCGTTCAGCGAGTCTCCAATGCGATCGGTCCTCAGAACGTCGCAGAAAGAGACACGCGCGGCGGGAAACGCCGTTGGGGCAGAGCCCCAGCTCTTCCAGTGGGTTAGACCGGGTGTATTTGTGTTTGGGTCATCTCGCGGATGTTGGTGACGATGCAGAAGGAGGGAACTAGAGAATGCCCAAGTTTGGATCAAAAATCTTGATGTGTTTCCTTGGATAGATGAGGGGGTAACTGTGATAAGATCCACCAGCTGAACGGAGTTATTTTGAAGAACACTCTTGCGGTTTCACGCCAGACAAAGGCTTCGCAACTTGATCCACCAGCCGGGCTTTTGTTCTGGAAGAAATCGCATAAGCAGATTGACCCATGCTACTATTACCTCCTGGCATTACTACTAGTAGCAAGGACGCTACTTGTAACAAAGGGCATCGCTACCAGTAGCAAGGACGCTTTGACCCTCTTTGGGGACCGATGGAAGTTGTAATTTGCGTCCGGAAGGCACTCGAGGTGTTTGTTTCACGGTCGATGAGGTCCTGGTGAGCGACGCATGCGAAGCAGCTTGGTTCACTCCAACAACTTATTGCTGTAGAACAGTTGAAGAATAACACCATTGAAAACCCTATGGGTCGGGTTCCAAAACGAGTCGCTTCCTGTGCTTGGAACCTCTTATGGTCGGCTCCATGTTCCAACACCGCCGCTTTACTTACACACACCACGCCGCGGTTACACGTGTGCGTGTTCTGTGCGCCAGGCGTGGTCGATTGGAGGAGGCCAAGCTGTTGGTCCTTCAAGCTTTTCAAGTGGAGTGCTCGAAGGAACGGGCGGATTCGATGGGATGGAGCCGTGGGATGGAGCCGTCTCTGGTCCGTGTTGTTGGTTCCTTCGTTCTTCGGGAAGAACTGGAAGGGGTGGCTCAGGGCGATTGGTCCGGGTCAAGATAAGAGAAAGGAAGCGAAGAGAAACAAGGTGGTGCAACTGCTTACATGGAAATTTACTGGTGGAAATGGAGGCCGCTTTTGTTTGCAGTCGACGGTGGAGCAGTTTTGCGGGTCCGTCTACGTCCTGAACACCGGTTTGGCGACCCACAGAAAGCCCCTTGTTACTTGTAAAAGGAGAAAGGTATTGGCATTGGTATATATAGAATGTTTTTTCTTTCTTGACTGGGTGCTTCATTGGCCCAGTTAGATCCTTCAGTTGGTCCTTCATTGGAAAGACATACATACGTCTACTCTTGCAGTTCTTGGATGCAGAGCATTGGCGGAGACTTCCGATCTCTCGTCCTTGCTACGCTACGCGCTCGTCTGCTGCAGCTGCACCTGGGGGGGCGCTACGCAGCGCCGGAGTAGGCGACGATGACCTGGTAGAAACCACATCCCTGGAAGGCTGAGGATGCCCCGACCAAAAGCTGAGGATGGAGGATGCCTCTTAGTGAGCTTGGAACTACAATATTGTAAGTGGCTCTATGTGGATCATGGTACAGGCTTGTAATGGTATTTGGTAGATCCCTTCAAATTATGTTGCGTTGTATACTCTGAAGTAGCCACTTTCTCGCCGTTCTGTTTGCCGGAATCACGGAGGACATCATCAAGCTCTCTTCCATGGCACGTCTTCTTGATTCTTTGCTGGAGCTACACCAGGCGCGGGGTGGCCATGAAGTCATGGGCCATGTGGACCTCCATGGATGGCGTGCCGCACGCGGGCACGCGACGCGGTCGCGCGCGTTGTTCGGAGCGGCGGGTGGAGGACCTCAGGTCGTCAGAGTTTTCCAGGGCCATCCAAGGCCATCGGACGCATGGCATAGGTCCCTCAAGGGGACCGGGAAGAAGTTGGGACACCTTCCCTTTCAGATCTCAGAAAGCTGGAAGTGGTCACCTTCCCCGGGGCGATGTTAAGAACCTGGAGACCGAAAAGGATTTGGGGCTGTTTTGAGCAACCAACATGGTGCCATGTGAAAAAACGTTCGTCTCAAACCAACAGACTCAAAGACATCGACCACATCGGCATCACATGAAGCACTTCCACCATCGACACCTCGGGCCCCTGCTCGCGGAGGCCACCAGCGATATCTCGGGCTTGGCTGCGTGCCAGGCAGGTCTTCCGGTCGTGGGGTGTGTAGCTCAAATAGGAAGACCTCCCAGGCAGCGACCTGGAAGAACAATCGACGATCAAACCACACCTTCTAACCATCAAAAACCACGTGAGGCTTCTTTTCATTCAGAGACAAAAGCTGATGTGAAGAAGCACATTTCACGAAAAAGAGGCTTTTCAACTCTGTTCCAGTGCTTGCTGGTGCTTCAAAAAGCGTGGCACAGCGTGCTGTGCGCGCGCAGCTCGCTGCGGTGGAGGATGCCATCAATGAGGGCTTGACGAATCTGCAGAAGCGGGGAATTCCCGGCGCAGAGGCACCGGTGAAAGGGATGGGAGGTCATTGGAGGCGGATGCAGTGGATGGATGCGGATAAGATGTGGAAAGCGTGCGGGCAGTGTGTGTGGGGAGGGGAGGAAGGGGATTTCAAGGGGTTTCTGTAGAATTGTAGAAAGATCTGGAGAGTTTTCGATGTTGCATGTTTTCGCTATATGTTGGCCCTGCAAAAGCATCCAGACATGCGAGCCATGACCAGTGAGCCATGAAGTCTGATCCATCCACGTTCCGGTCTCCATGTTCCCCCAGAGCCCTGAGAGAGCTGGGAACTTCTCTTTTTGCGAGGAGACTTGGACACCGTAGGAGTTTTGAATGCACATTGGGCACATTGGTGTCGAGTTCTTAGCAACCAGAGCTTTTCAGAACCAATTGACTATCAATCCCAGTTGGGTACCCCAGATCAACGGCTCTTACGACGGTCACTTGTCACTGGTCACTTAACCTCTCTTGCTTTGGGCCAGCTCCCGGCCGAGCCAGCGACGCTCGCGCCTCGTTCGGTCCTGGCAGCCTCAGGCGGCCAGCTATGCTGCGCTGCTGCAGAAGATCGCCACGATGTTGACGCTCGACGTGGAGAGCGAGGGTGGATGTCGATCATCTTCCGCTCGGGGAGGGCGGCGGCCGTTGCGAAGTTTCCACCGGATAGAGTGAGCGGCGGGATTGAGGGCGGTGTGGGGGAGGGTTTGGGTGCGAGCGACGAATCGGAGCCCATTGCGGTGTGTGTTTGTGTCTTATAGAGTAAGGGTGCCTAAGGGTGCCGAGAGAACTCCTGGAGACGTGACCGACTCGGGCGACGTGCCGAGTCGCTCTCCCGACACACCTCGCTGTGACACCAATGAGGGTCTTCAAAGACACATGATGTGACCTGAACATGGAAGCCACCAAAAGAGAACTCACACCCTATCACACCCGGCCACCGAAGTGGAACCAATCCCTTTCGGGTCCGACTTGCATTTAAGGTTAATAGTCGACTGGACTTTGAGTGAAATCCCCGAGCTGCTTTCCGGCGGATGCTGCGGGGGAGAGCAGAAGTTCTTGGCACGTTCCGGGCGATCTCAAGGATGATTTTTTTGACACTGGCGTGTTTAGAGAAATTACAAATTTCATCTGAAAATGATGGGTTAATTACACCTCAATGTATCCTCGATAGTGACGAAATACCGTTGAATACAGAGGTACAGTGACCAAATAAACATCATGATCCAAACAAGTTGATTAAGGAATTAAACAATATCATTCAATCATCTAAATGTCAAAGTTTCACCAGAAAGTGGTTTAAGATAGTACCTCACCAGCGCAAAATACATTTAGCAATTGTAAACATCTTACATGTTGCGATAGTCAGGCAATTAACATCTTCAGACAAGACCAGTTTCCCTTTTTCAGGGTCTTGGAAAGCGGTGAATGTTCCATCCTCCCCCATTCTCCGATCCTTCTCCACTCTTGGACTTCTGGCGAACACCGAACACTCTCCCCTCCAAAAGAAGAAAACCAACCAAAAGGGTTTGATTGGAGAGAAGGTTTGCCCTCCCTCCCAGGCTGCGCCATGATGAGGGACACAATCGCCCCGGAGCCATCGAACTCCTGGAGGAAGGCGCCGCGCAGCAGTGCCGCGCAGCAGTGCCGCGCAGATCCGCGCCACGCGTGGCTCATGTCGGATCGTGTCGTGACGTCGGTGGTTTTCCTTCGTGAAATGGGGTGGTGCGCTTGGCTTTCGCCTTGAACTACCTGTGGGCGACTGTTCCGGGGGGGGCGAGGGCAAGGGAGGACGGTTGTTGGGAGATGACTGGAGCGACACTGGAAGGAGATGATTTTTGGTAGGAGAAGGATTGTTGGGAGGCGTCCGCAAAGAAAGTTGGTTCAATAGTGGTGATGTGTCTGTCTTCCGTGTCATCCATGGATTTTACTAGTATCTCCTTCTGAGGTGAGTAAATGTCTTGGATACCAGTGGATGGCATATGCCTGGTATAATATAGATGGTATATACTTTCTGTTTATGCAAGCTATAGGCCTATGATAGAAAGGTGACTTATACTGCTATGGAACACTGTTGCAGAAACATCCGCCTTGAAGCACATGTGTTCTTTTTCGTGCGTTGTCATTGTCATGACGGTGCCATCGTTGATGACACCTCAACAAACGCTGGAAAGGTATAGTTTCATGCCTTGTGTTTTTTGTCTCTCTCTCTCTTACTCTTCTGGTATTATTTCTTCACAGGCTTCTTATTGCTTTTCTTGTTTTTTTCTTGGCTTTGTGGGAGCCAAATCCAAACAAATCGTCTGAATCTGCTGAAAGAGACGACGGCAATGACACCCGCTCAAGTTGAGACTCCAGATCATCTTCGTGATCTGAATCACCTTTGGAACCTCCAGCTGGTTCATGCTCTCTACCTGAGCCAGGCAAAACGGCAAACAGGAACACAATTCACACACAAGGAACCCCTTCGAATCCGAAGCCCTAACAAGAACACCTTGTGAAACGCGACATGGTGACTTGGCGTGTTAGGTCCTCAGCCACTTGTGGTGTAAAAGCTTCTACCATTGCAGCTCGAACTCTCTCATCGGGTCTCCCGCTGCAGTCCTGGGCGCAGTTTGACAATCAATGTTGCCAGACTGAAGTTCTGTTTAAGAACCTCAATTAATCCACGTGGATTGACACCTGATGTGGTCCGCTTCACACACTCCTTTGATCCTGGAAAGCGTATTCCGCAATCTCAAAAAATCTGGAAAGTCATCAGTGGTTGGTTGGTTCTTCTATTATGATTTACTTCACAAGACAGTCTCAGTATGGTCTAAAATGCTTTGAAAAGCAGGTTTTGCTACTATGCTTTGCGGATACCGGAAAAATCTGTAGATGTCACCTCGTCGTCCAGGGCAGTAGTATACCTAGAAGATCCTTTGGGCAGAAATTATTGCCTTTTTTGGAAAGAGCGGCTCTTCCCGTCCTGGGGCGGAAATCAGCTGTTTGCCGCGGAAATGTGTTTGTTGCCGCAAATGTTCCCTTTCAGGAATCCAGTGAGACAAAGACTATACATAAATTCTAGAGGAGTTGAATATTTTTGTGGCTTACATTGGGCATTTCTGCCTGGAACGGTCACCGCAATGAGAAAAAGCAATTTGCAGCGCTTAAGTTTCCACCTCCACCTGCAAATCTGGCTACCATCATATCATATATGTGTCTTTGTTTTTGAAGGTTTCTTGTGCAGAATGAGCACAAAAGGACTAAAATCCGTCCAAAGTTGAATCCACCTGGCGCGAAAATGTCCTGGAAAAAGGCAGAAATATCTGTGAAAAAGGCGGAAATACCCGGGAAAACGGTGGCAATACCCGGGAAACCGGCGGAAATTTCCTGGTAGAAGGCGGGATTCAGGAACAGTGCCTTTGATGCCTTTGAAGGGCTTGAACATATGTCGCAGCCTCTTTGTGAATGTCATGAATCTAGAAACGTCAAAATCGTAGGGTGTCAGATCTTGAGATGTGAAGCTATGTCCTTGCAGAACGATATGTGGTCTGTTTGCAATCATGGAAGAGACAACCTGGTTGGTCTTAGGCAGTTGTAATGGTTTTCGAGTTGCTATGTTGGATTTTGCTTGAGGCAAAAATTCCCTGCTGCCCGCAATCCGCGAATCCTCCCGGACAAATCGGACTGAGGCAGAAATTTCTGCCCCAGGTGCTTCTAGGTATGCACTTTCGGCGACGACTGATTTATTTTGATTTATTTAATTGTTCGTATACCGAACAACAATTGTTTTACTGAAGGATTTTAGGTGTGCAAAGTTTAAATAATGGCTTTGGAAGCCTGGAGACTGGATGTTTAACAAATGTTGGCGTTGATCCAACGTGGAATGGAACTTCTTGGTGTTCCGTTTGTGAAGTCTTGTTATTTGCCTTCAGACTAGCGCGCCAGTCACTCCCACAAAAAGGCAACTCCACGTAGGGACAGGGGGGGTCCTTTTGTTCACACAGTGCATGTAAGAATGACCATTTGCCCAAGGATGCTAATCTAATTATTTGGAGAGCTGCAAAGAATCGCATGGTTTGCTCTCCCTCCAGTCTAAGTATGTGTGTATATATATATATACATGTAAATATTGTGTATACCAGGACCCTCCAACAGGTCACCACCTGCGACTTTTAAGTCTGCAAAAGCCTCCACTTCGGATACCTGTTGGAAGGCGCTGAAATTGGACACATACACCCAATTGAAAATGAATGAAATTTATACAACACGTGCGTTATATTTATATAGACATATTCAAGGTCATTATGCAAAATTATATGAAATTATGCGCATCAGTGCTGTGCAGTTCTTCACCAACTCGAAATCGAATATGAAGACCGACCATAAACACAGAGGCACAGCTAGCAGGTGGGTACTCGCATGTACCTGACAGGTCCTGCAACGGAACTGCGGCTTTGACCTGGACATGGACGGAACACGCCGGTGAACTGGTCACATTTCAATCAACTAGATTGGAAGATGACTCTGAGACTCCCAGAATATTCAAGTAAGTCAGTGTGTGTATATATATATATGTAATGTAATGTAATGCAATGTATTGTAACGCAATGTAATGTAATGTATATATGTATGCACGAAAGATAGACAGACAGACAGACAGGCAGATAGATAGTAAAGATAGAAAAGACAAGAAGAGAAGAGAAAATAAATAAATAAATACATAAATGAAGAAAGGAACTAATAAAGAAAAGGAAGGAAGAATAAAAAAGATAGAGCAATGGAAAGAACAAAGACAAACAGTACAGAAAGAAATCAAACAACATATACAGTAATATATATAGAGATAGATGGATAGACAGGTAGACAGATAGAGGCCTCATTTTCGAACAGACCGCTTTAGGCAGATTTTGAAAGGTAATCTTACAACCGTTGTCTTAGGTTCTGCTTGGTGTTCAGGTGAACCGTTGTTTCCCGCACCCTACCAGGCCTCCCATTTTCCATGGCGCCACCGCAAGTGGTGAGATGAATACCCCGAGCAGGGGGCAACTTAGTATCTGCCTATGGGCTGGGCTCCTATGCCCGAGATCAGCTCAAGGAGATCGTTCCTGGCTTGCGGAATGGCTTCCCGAGATTTCACCGGTGACATAACGTACATACCTGTGACCTGAGGCGGCTTTGTCCCTATACTTGGGCGAAGCTGCAGCGTGATTTCCCTGGATTTTGGCGGTGCATCAATGTCACGCCGCAGTGCATTACTCACCAGTTGCGCGAGGACAGACAAATATTTTCACCAGGCAGCGTCATGGACATGTGTTGGAATGTCACTTTGGGCGCATGGCCTTTGCCAACTGGTCACAGGAAGCCAGAAGGTGAGCGCAGCCTTCGCGCTTTTTCTTCGGCTGAGACTCGTCACCTTTTTGGAGGCCATGGTTGCCAGTGACGTGTGAGTGGAAATGCGGAGGCAGGTCTGAAAACCAATACCAAGCGCATGTTTTGTTTCCGATGGCTTGAGCATGCCTTTGATGTTGGCATGTAGAGTTTACTCATGCATGACTGGCGCTTTTAGGGTGATCGCAGCAAGCTGTGGCAGCGGCGCCTGCAAGATCCGTGTTGAAGAATTCGGTGTTTCGTTCGATTGGGGTCATGGCTTTTCTGCCGGACCTCAACCGCCAGCTCCCGATCGCAATTTGCGCTGCCGGACCTGAGCCACAAGCGCCAGATCGCAGTGGGCACTACTGGACCTCAACACACAACACATAGCCACAAACACACTATACACAATACACAACAAAGCACAACCACAATACACAAGCGCAAACAGACAAAGCACGAACACAATTACAAACACACAACCACAAACACGCAACCACAAACACAACCACAAACACAATCACAAACACACAACCACAAACACACAATCACAAACACCACAAACACACAACCACGAACACAACCGCAACCACATTCACAAACACACAACTACAAACACGCACAACCACAACATGCAACCACAAACACAGAAACCACAAGCGCAACCACAATCCTCAAACACAACCACACGCACATGACAACAATGTAACTACCTGTGTGTGTGGCATTTTGTGGCGCAGGTGGTCACAGGGTAGCACTTTTGGATGCCAACTGGAGACCCTGGTGACACCCCAACGCGAACTCCCTAACACTAAAATAGCAATCCCACAAAACTCACGACCATGACCATGGCAACATACTCCTCACCATGGCATGACTTCAAATGTCATGGTGGGGATCGCTCGACGTAAAGTAAATGCTTTTCGCTGCGCTGGCTGGCTGGTATTTCTGCGTGGGTTGCTTCGGTTGGGGGTGTGTGGGTTGATGCGCCGTTGGTTGGTTGCTGCGTTGTTGCTTCAATTGGTGGGTAGGTTGTGAGTTGTAGTGGTCGTCGTAGTAGTGGCAACAGAAATAGTTATGGTGGTAGTACTTCATAAACTACCCGTAGTCTACTAGTAGTAGTCGTCGTCGTCGTCGTAGTGGTAGTGGTAGTGGTAGTGGTAGTGGTGGTAGTGGTAGTGTAGGTGTGATTGTGAGAGTGCAGTTTTTTTGATTTCATTTGTTGCTCAAAGATTGAACTCTTCACTGACTGGACTGTAAAAATGCAGTTGTTTTAACTCAAGGGCAGCTCATGGAAGATTCCGATTCCATCATTATTCCAAGTGAATTATACGTTTTTCTAAATTAGTTTTTGCTTTAAACCATTTTACGTGCAATTTATTGGTTGCGTAATTTCCTTAATTTCAATGTAATTGTTTGTACTCCTGGCGGCCAAGCCGACTTCTCGATGCGCGCGATCTTGTGGCATCAGGTCGATTGTTCGACCCAAAGAGGAAGTCCGCAAGGCAACCAACAGGTCTTCTCCTGCAAAATGACGGGTTTTGACAGTCTATCAAAGCTTTCGCAGGGAAATTGGCAAGTTGATTTGTATTCCCCTCCCTTCGCCAAGGTGTATTCCGTGATGAAATCGAGGCCCCTTTGCACCTGCGCACCAAAGGTGATGTGTAGGCAGGTCATACAACCACCCCTAGACAGTTAGATGGACAGATAGATATAGGTAAGATAGACAAGAAACTTTTAAGAAAACATAATAAATACTTACAAATAGAATACAATAGATAGACGTGGGGTTCTGTCTCTCCCTTTGGAAGGTCCAAGAATCGTCATTCCACCGTTTGCAGGTCTTCAGTGGCTCCGAAGGCCTAGAGAGTCCAGGAGTGGAAGGCTCAACGGGGGCCATCCAGTGGAGTGGGATTGGTGACCTCCAAAGTTCGGTTCAACTGCTCAAAGTGGCTCAGGACGTGACCGTCCTTGAGTCTTCCCAGGCCTTAGTTAGAGGGTCACGTGACACGTGACACGTGACAAAAGGACCTGTAAGTTCGGTCATTGGATGGGACTCCAACAAACGTGATTTCTCTGTAGATCAGAAGAGGCCCATCCACCTGAGATTTGGTCCGGATCTTCCTTGCGCCAGTTCCGATCTGCAGCAACATGCACCACACCGAAGTGGATGGAACGAAAAGCAATCGGAAAGCAAACGGAACGGAACGGACGTGACTGCTTTGAAGCTGCTGGTACATATGGTTTTTTGTCATGCTCCCTCTCGGCTTCTTTTCAATTTGCATCGACCAACTGTTGTTTTTTTTGGCGATGCCTTCTCCTTGACAAGATCCATCACTGAGGAAACTAGAAAAAGGATTGACCTCGTGGCCCTGTTGAGGCAGTTTTTCCGGGCGACGGTGAACAACCTGTGGTTATTCGGACTGAATTCCAGATACTCAGCATGTTCATTGGCATTTTATGACTGGAACAGGGAAGACATTATTGGGGATTGTGCCATCTACTCTGAAACCACTGTAAGATTTGTTTCCCTTTGGTTCGAGTGAAGGTCATTGGTGAAGCCTCACCCACGCAGCCCAGCAGCACTCACCACTGATGCGAGTGGAACCTAGGAGTGAGGAGGAGGCGGCAACGCAAGACGAGGACCGTGAGGTGTGTGTGTGTGTGTGTGCGTTCTCCAGAGATTGTTCCGAGGATTTTGTAGGGCATAACGGTGAGCGCATACCAATCATGGACATCAACACCTAAATTGCTATACCAGGGTTCCTACTAGCAGACTGTTTCAGCCGTGTACTTGATAGCATTTGCAGAGATGCATCCATTTCCGAATCGGCCTGTAAAACCGGATGCATCCGGATGGATCCCTCCTCCTCCCGCCTTGTCTTCGCTGGTTTCAAAGCCTTGTGACACATGTTCCGGTTTGGGGGTCAGTCCTTTTCCAACGGCACTTGGGTCAGAGCACGAACGGCGGGGTGGTTGACCTGGGGTCAATGTGGGCATCAATACCATACATGCATGGTCCGGGGAAGCACCAAAAAAGCGGAACCTGCTTTGGTGTTTTTGTTTCGCCTCGTGTTCCTAGTAGTAATGCCAGGAGCTACTAGAAGCTTCTTGCTACTAGTAGAAATGCCCTTGTTACGGGCGCCCTTCACTTGAAAACCCGGGGAGCTGGGCTCGGCTCTCTCCTGTCCCTCTCACGTCCCACGTGGTCGGGTTCAGTCGAGGAGCGACACCTCTATATGCCGAAGGCGTCGGGCAGCTGGGTCGATGGATCTGAGGTACGGTGGCTCCATGTAGGTGCCAGGAGGCTCGGTATGGTGGCGATCCCCTGAAGCAGCCGGTGACATCTTCTCCGAAAAGGGTTTTAGATGTCACAAAACAAACACGATCAACTTTTGGCCCGATCGTGTTTGCCCCAGATGTCAGAACAGTGACATCTTCTCTTGTTGATCTCATTCCATTCGTTCCTAAACACGATCCACTTCCGTCACCGGACCGCGCGGAGAGAGAGCTGGAGATCCGTGGTGCGGGCGGGGGCTTTCGCCTTCGATGGGGACTGGAATATGACAACACGGGATGACGCGGGGAGACAGTTTATAAGACGATATGGGTAGTAGAAGGGGTCGTAGCCGCAGTGACTGGGTGAATTTCAGGGCCGGGGTGGAAACCTGAGGTTCCAGCACTTCCATCTGGCAATAACTTTGGGGGTTGCTTCAATAGGGGGTGGTTTCAATTGATGGAAAGCAGACGTTCCATCTGAAAAATTCATGACATTTCAAGTGAGGGTAAAACAAGACATCCAGGAGTATTCAAGTGTGCTGGCAATCCATTTAAGGCAGTTGGACTGAATTGCCAATATCTCAGCTCATTTCAGGGCTCAAGGCCTGCTGGGGGCAGGCTTTGATTTGTTGGTTGGAGAGCCATACCAAGCTCCAAGAGAGGGGGGTGTCAGGGAAGAGAGGGATCCCCTCATGAAGTCTTGGCAATCCCAGTGCATTGGGGTGCTGAAGCAAATGGGAGGAAGTCGGAGGGACACCCATGATCCACTCACTCAAAGTTTCTAAAAACCATCCTCGGCATGGAACTCCTGGGATCGTTGGGGTCATTCAACACCGTCTCCGAACCCGGACTTCCGCCCAGTTCCTTGGCCCGGTCTGCCCCCTCCACCGGAGCCACCGGAGCCTCCGGGTGTCAGGGGCTTTCACGGCGACCGGGCCGGGCCCCGCGCGCGGGGTGTTCAGGCGGGTCAACAAGAACTCGCGGTGGATCCGGCAGCCTTGGAGCGGTCCATCGAGGCACACCGGGCCGTTGGGAAAGCCACGCGTGGCGGCTGCATCGCTACTAGGTTACTAGGGGATTCTGGTGACGTTCGTAGCTTCTAGCTACAATGGCCTCCAACCTAATAGCGGCCTCCAACCTAGTAGCTTCTTGTTACTAGTTGGAACGTTGTTTTTGAACGACACTTGGCCCCAACTGCCAAGCAGCAAGGGGTCTTTTGGGGGGGAGTCATCCGAACACTTGGACCTGTTCGGAGCTGCTCGTCGTCCTGAAAATGTGTTTCATGAATGTCAAAGAGTAAATGGCAACCTGTGACCTTTTACATGTTCATGAACGGCAAGGACACCAGGATCCGCATGTGATTCCCTCTGTGATCCCCTCTGTTTTTAGGTTTGCCCAAAAAAACGATCACACCACTGCAAGGATCAGTTGCAGCACTTGCGGCAGATCACCCTCTCGGGACCAGTCTCAGAGACACCGCAGGCGCGGAGTGTACGGTTTGCGCGTGTGACGGAAGGATGTGGGGGTCCAGGCTCTCAGTGAAGGAAGCGTTTTGGGTGATGAGTCTTGCAAGGGTTTGGTTAAGTAAGTGGTAGATTCGATGCGTTGCTCAGGCCTCAACGCCAAAGGCACAGGTGAAGAACAGAAAGCAAGTATGACATGGATCCATGACGAGAACCACAAGTCTTCGGTGATATTCAGGTACTGTCTATGGCCCTTCATGTTCTCCGGCCAAATCCCATATTCTGACTGGTTTGCTCGATGTCCGTCCTGTGACGATGGCGATGGCGATCCGCCCTCCGTCAGGCCGCCGCGGCCGCGCGTTCCTCGCCGCCCACGGACTTCGAAGTGGTTCCTTCGGAGCGGAGACCGGTCTTCGTCCGTCGAGTCGACGGGGAGCAGGGCAGGGAGGAGCAGAGGAGCAGAGGTGGTGTGTGGTGGTGGTGGAGGTGGTGTGTGGTGTTCTTTTTCTAAAAATCCCGTGGGCAAATAGAGAGTGGTTGGCGTTTTCTATCTATTTGGGGAGTCTCTATATCAAAATGTTGAGGTTTCGAGGGTTGGAATTCGGTTGAAGTTGTGTGTGTGTGTGTGTGTGTCTTCAGATGATTTCAGATGTTAGTCTATGAGATGCCTAGCGCATGGGTTGGAATGAGGGACCCATATGGAAGCTGCTTGAAGATCCAGGATCAAAAGACCACTCGGACCACCACCGGCTTTGGGGTGCGGTTTCGACGGGCCAGATCTCAACCTCTCAACCATGTGCCGCTTCGTCGACAACCATTGAACGAAGCAAATGGTTGGATTGCAAATTGGATCAAATTGGGTAAAAATACATCGTCAGATGACAGAAGACTGATGATGACCTGTCAGTGGAACAGCGTTTGGTTTGGGATGCTTCTGAACGAAGGGGTTCCCTTTGGGGCTTTCCAGGAAGACGGGGGCAGCTTTCTTTGTTGTGGAAGGCGATGGTTCAAGCCATCCTGTATCAAAATGGGTGGTGTTCTGAATGGCGCTTTCATGCGCGCACCTAAGCACCCAAAGGATGTGACAAGGTGAGCTGTTCTGATGTTGTTCCCTTCATCATTTCTCATTTGGATTGAGGGTAGATTGGGACAACATGGCACAATCAGATGTCAATGACACCCAGTTTGGTGCTTCATAGCTGCCTTCCGAAAGACCCCCATCTGATGGGGGTGCTTAGCTTTGCGCCGAACACACCTCTGAAACCACAAAAAAACCAGAGTCAGGTCGTCCGTGTTCTTCGGCGTTCTTTCCTTCTCGAGGTCGATGATGCCGTAAAGTCTCCCATGTGCTTCACAGCGGTGGATTGAGCAAAAGGGCGCGCCGCTTCCGTGGGCAGTGCGACGCGACGTGGAACGACGCGACCGGGTGAGGCGACCAGGCGACCACCGACTGGTGGGTCTGGGTTTTAGGACGTCGACGTAGACGTCACATGCGCTGCCTGAGCTTTCAGCCAAGAGCTTGGTCTCTTGGTCTCTAAATCTTGCTAAATGGCATCACGCGACAGGAGGAGACCACCTTGGTCTCTACAATTGGTTGGGTTCGCTTTCAGACGTAACGGCAGTGCAACACGGGGATTTCCTATGAATTCCCAGCACTGGACAGCTAGAAGTTTCATTGAACGTCGCCCCTAACGTGCGGAGGTGCCTATGGGAAAACTTCTTGTGATGAGCGTCTGGCACAGAGGGTGCACAGCGTTTTGGATGAGAGACTGGCCATTTTCATCCATACTAGCCATAGTACTAGCCATTTTGATCCGTTTTGCATGTTTAGCCAATTGGTGTGTGAGTGTGGGTGTGGGTGGGTATCGCGATGTTTCGTGTGTTTCCATATCAAAGTGCGAGTTTTAGCCATGTTGGATCAGCCACTTCCTCTATAGGAATGGAGCAATGGAGATTATAACGGTTGCAGGTGCCGTTCTCACCCAGCTTCAGGAGGAAGAATTGGGCTGCATGGTGGAGAGTGGAAAATATGTTAGAGATTTGAAGACGCTCATTGCCACAAAGATTGGATATTCAAGATTTCGACTTAGACTCTTGAGCAAAGAGATGGGCGAGCTACAGGATGATATGCCTGTCAGACCACTACCAAGTTTGCAGTTAGTAATCTTGGACTACTATGCGCCTGAGGAGGCCAATTGGCACGCACTACACTTTGCATGTCAGAACAAGCGAGTTGTCGAAGTTACACGTTTGCTTCAGAAACCACTGAATCCTAACTGGACAGGTGCAGACATTGACCTTCCTGCACCTATTCTTTTCGCTGCAAAACGGGGCCATTTGGAGGTGGTGCGGCTGTTGCTCGAGGCTGGAGCTGACCAGAACGCAGCAAGGCAAGACGGGGCAACCGCCTTGGGGGCTACAGCTTTCAATGGCCACTTGGAAGTGGCGCGGGTGTTGCTCGAGGCTGGAGCTGACCCGAACGCAGCAAGGCAAGATGGGACAACCGCCTTGATGGTTGCAGCTCTGAATGGCCACTTGGAAGTGGTGCGGGTGTTGCTCGAGGCTGGAGCTGACCAGAACGCAACAACTCAAGACGGGGCAACCGCCTTGATGTTTGCAGCTCACAAGGGCCACTTGGAAGTGGTGCGGTTGTTGCTCGAGGCTGGAGCTGACCCGAAGCCAGCAGATCAAGATGGGACAACCGCCTTGACGCATGCTGCTTGCAATGGCCACTTGGAAGTGGTGCGGGTGTTGCTCGAGGCTGGAGCTGACCCGAAGGCAGCAGCTCAAGATGGGACTACCGCCTTGATCCTTGCGGCTGAGAGTGGGCAGTTGGAAGTGCAGCAGCTGTTGCTCGAGGCTGGAGGTCACACCATCCGCACTCCTCCAGGTCCGGGTCGTGATCGACCGGACCGCTCGCGATCGCGATAGACCCAAGGACTCCGATCGCGTCCGCCGGTCGTGTGTGAGATGTGCTGGGAGACTGGTTTCACTGGGATTGATCTCGAAAGACAACAAATAACCATCAAACACACATCAAACGATTGGATGGAGAAACATGTTACATCTGCATTCACCACGGACAGACCCAGTGGTTCTCTTTTGCGGCTTTGGGTGATCGCCGGTTAGATGATCGGAGGGCATTTCAATGAGGTTTCGCAATTAGCTAGGCTGGAACGTGTCACACCTGAGCGGTGTGTGGTGTAGAATGACGGCAAACATCCGCAAACCATGACGGAAGGGTTCTGACAATGGGCCTGAGTATTTATATCAACACATCCAGCTCAGAAGGCTCTGCCCGCCTTGAAGTTGGCACTTCAGAAGTGGTGGAAAGAACCTCGTTCAGTCCCAGGTCCAGTCACCTGCTCCAACTGACCTCCTTGGATAGTGCGAACTTGTACCAACTCCAGTATCTCATGGTCATTGACCTGTTTTTTTCTTGCGATTGTCCCATGAACTTCAGCTTCTTTTCGCATGCTGCTTGGCCGGGTCCAGAGACTTCCGGCAGAAACTTCTTCACAGATGAGACCGACAAGCTCTTGGATCAAGGGCGTCGACTGAAAAAATTCAGGGCGTGACAAGGCTCACATCCGAAGATACGTTCCATATACGTTCCATCACTTGCCCAGACACTCCATGGGACTGGTATATTTACCTACATTGGAGTGGTGACAGGGGGGTCAATGGGGCGGCAGTCCTATGGCAGTCCCATGGAGTGTCTGGGACTTGGATTCACTTCGAGGATCCTGCTAAAGAATGAACAGTTGGTCAGACTGAGGTTCTTGGGTAGCAGTCCCATGACCATGGTGGACCCCGTCCAGTCACATCCCACAATGGCTTCAGGCGGAAAAAACAATTTGGGCAACTCTCAACCAAAATGCTTGGGTGGCGAAATTCTCCGAGTTTTCTCTTTTGGGTTTTGGGGCGAACATCACCATCCAGATAATCCACTTATATGTGTTCGTTCTCTCTTCCCCTTTGCGAAAGACACCGATCAAACCATCCCGGACATCGCGAGCTCTCGCGCCGTCGCCATGTCCGGGGCGCCCCCGCCACGCCCCGGCGTGTGGCTCTGTCGGCGATCCTCGCGCTCGGTCGCTGCCTTGCCGGGGGACACGGTGAACGCACCGGCCGGGGGTCGGCGGGAAAGCGCTCGAAGGGAAGCAGGAAAGCATGCTTTCGTGCCATGTGGAGTGGCATATTGGCCAGAAATTTGCATGAAGTTCTGGCCATATAGACCATCCTGTCGTTCCATAGGCCATATATGGCCTATATATATGGCGCCTATAGTTCCAAAATTGATCGTTCCACACCATCAGAGCTCTATGCAAAGAAATGGCTGGTTCCAAAAAAGGATCCAGATGCAGTGTTGAAAGGATCGTTTGGGGGGCCTGCACTTCTCTTCCAACACCTACCCCGAAGTTCACCTAACTTGATGGCGCGGATGGGAGAAAGAAAACCAGCGAAGCCAGTTGAGGAACTCCAGCTTCACCAAAAAAAACGTCCTAATTCTGTGGATTCTTGCATAGATTCCTTGATGATTTCATTCTCGCACCACCTCCGCCTTTGTTCTCATCCCCATCTCCGCATGCTCTTCTCGCTCCAAGTCCGGCGGCCTATTTTCTCTGGCCCGTAAGTTCTATGTCTCCGGTTTCCACTTTTGAGAGGTGTAGGAATTTCCACACTTCGGACCAAAACGAAACTCTGAGAAACGATCCTTAAAAACCGGCATTTAATCCTTAGCTGTATATGATTTGTGGGAGTAGGACGATGAGCTATGTGCATAATATCGTCATCTTGCTTGGGTTCATTAATCGGAAAGTACAATGATAACTGCTAGGTAGTCTGTTAGGTAACAGGTATACTTCCATGCTATACAAGACCGGTCAAGGATTTCTCCGAGTGTTCGTCCACCCCAAACGATGAACGGTCGACCCTCGTCCTTCTGTCTGAGCGAGTCAGCGGGTTTTGAGCGAATGGGATAGATCAAGTCCTGGAAAAAGATGGACCGTATCGTTGGGTGGTGTTGGGATTCCTGAGAACCAGGAATTCTGATCTTCGGTGAGTCTATCAGGATGGTGATTCACATGTCGAAGCAGCCATGTGGATGGGTGGCACTTCTCAATGAATCCCCAAAGTCTCCCCTGAAAACCTCTGGAGAAATGGCACCCCCAGGATCGGCGTTGCTTCTGCCAGTGGCCCACCCTTCTTTAAGTGGCCTGCATCCTGAACAATCATTGGTTTTACCCGGGATTTTACACTACAACACATTACCTGGACCTTCCAAAGGGTGTCCAATGGAGATCTCTCAGTAGTGTGTGCATGAATTCTATATTATTTATGGGGTTGCAATAATATTATTAATGATTCAATGGCAACCCCAATTATATATTTTCTCTACCCGCCATTTACTTTCATTTATTATCTTTAGACAAAATGGCGGGGTTATTATCTTGTTATTAATGGCTTTTGACCTTTGGGAACGATAAATTCTAAGATAGCCGGGGTTCACTCTTCTAATTTATTATAGATTCATATTATTTTCTATCATATTATTATTCATGAATTATTAAGAAGCATATCTTTATTATTCGTATTTTATGATTAATATTATCATGCATTCTCTTATATTTATCATTCTATCCTTATCATTTATGGCGTAGCCAATCTATCCTGTAATTTATACCTTATGATTTTGCTTTTTCTACAGTCAATTTCCTTTATTTTAAGGGGTTCCTCACTCTCATATTATTCTATCATTATATTATTCATTACCATCAATCCCATATATTTATTATACATTGAGCACCATTATCTTTTATATAATTCTATGGCTGTTATAATGTCTTTAATCCTTATTATTCTATCTAATGGTTCAGGAAATCTTTTATTTGACTATCATCATTTGTTTTCGGTTTCCTATTCGCGGTCTAAGTCTTCTAAAAAATGGATGGTTTTTATTATTGCTATTCTTGTCTTTCATGTTCATTAATTCTCCAAAAGGTCATAAAGAAAGCCACAACCAATGAACGCTTATATGTGGGCTTCCTGCCAGGTGACCCCTTGGAGGGTGCTGGTAAACATTACAAAACCAGCATCCTTCCCAGTTTTAAAAGGATCAGACCCCCCCGAACCGTCCGGTACTTCTCGGCTTTTGCCACGTGGCCCCACGGCCACCGTCCGAGGCCCTCCGAGGAGACGGGGCGGCACCGCTTCCTCGTAGGCGCCGCTTCCGCGTCCGACCTGGCCGGCGCGACCGTCCCGGAACCCTTAGAAGGTCGATCCGTGACGAAGGCCAGTTCGGCCTCAAACATCTTGGGGTGCCCCAAACTGATACCTGGACCCTCCGTTTTCGGGGTGTCCAATTTCTGGACTACCCCACACGGATCCGGCCGAGGCCGAAAAAGGCTTCCAGACAGGGTGTGCCCGAAAACGGAGGGTTCTGGTAGTCTTTGGACTTTCTGGGGCTTCTGTACAGTTCGGGGCGGCAGGAGCCTTAAACATGGCTAGAAAGTCTTCATTCTTCCTCGAGAGGCATCGAGGCATCTGATGCTGGAGACGTGACGGCGAGGATGAGCCAAGTTTCTCACCGGCCCCACAAAATAGATCAGCCGATGGTCATAAAGGGTAGACTCCACAGTGGTGCAAATCCATGACCAGCCTTTGGTTGCAGCTGCAGCTGCAGCTTGACCCTCAAGCTTAGCGCACCTTTCTGCACACCGAGTCCGGTCTCCTTCCGAAGGCACCTGCGACCTGAACAGCCCGAATGAGATCCATTTGGTCGGGGGCCTAACCGCCAGCCGCCCGGGCTCGCGCCCGGGAGCAGACCCGTCACTCGCCCGGGAACCTCTGTTTGTTTCAAGTCTTGACCCAAAAAGAATCTGATGCGAGACCAGTGGAATTGGAGCAAACCAAGCAAGTTAACGGCTTCTTTCCGGTGGCTTCCTGAAGCCAGGGCACCTTGTACGCATGAGAACAACCTGACTTCTATTGACTTCTATGCCATGCGCGTTCCTGACGCCCTGGCCATGTTCCACTTTCGATCCACGTTGCTCCGATGAAGGCCCCGAAAAAGCCCGAAGGCACCATCGAGATCTCGCCCATCGCGCTGCGATGGAAGACGGCTTCGGCTTCGACCTTCGACCCATCGCGCCGCGCCGCCGTCCCCGAGGTCCCGGACCCCGCACCGAGGATCGAGCGGGACACATCGACCGTTGCGCGGCGAAGCGAGCGGCGCCCGAAGCGGCGAAGGTGGAGTTTGCGGAGGAGACGGCGGAGATCGCCTGCCGGGCCGCCCAGCTCGCGCGTCGAGCGGGTCGCGCGGGTTGGGCGGGGGCAGGTGGGGGGGGCGGCTAGCCCCGTGGAGTGGTGCGACGGTGCGGCGCGTAAGAGGCGAAATGGGTTCGGTCGATTTGGAGTGAACATCGGGGCAGAGATCAACGTGGAAAAGAGAGGCCCTGGAAAAAAGTAATTAAGCTATATACTAAGAGTTTAAACCCCAGCTTACGGGACAGGCGACGAGCTTGAGCCAGCGATCGATTTGTTTGGGTCGTGTGACCCCAGCCGGCACCAAGACCCCTAGATGCATGCACATACCCTCCCTCAAACAATCATGGAAGCTGAGCAGGCCACACTTGCAGCGCTTGTAGAGGATTTCATGGTCTTCCAGAGGCCTATGTTCCACTTCCATTGTTTCAGGGAGTGTAGATG